GAGCCGCAGGAGCGTTTGGAGGCGGGAGAGGTAATTGCAGCCCTTGGCTGGGAATTGACTTTTCCTTCTTGACAGGAGAGGAGAGGAGAGGAGAGGAGAGCGCTTTGCAGCAGGAGCTTTGCAGCCTTTCAAGTGGGCGCCTTCTCCTTCCTCCCCACAGACCTCTTTGTGTGTCTCTTCACACAGTTTCCCTCCTCCCGCCTCTTTCCATTCCGGAGACAACGAGGGGGAAAGGAAGTTTGAGGCTGGGGAGGCCATGCTGCTATAGCAACCGCCGCATCTCCACGGGCCTGAGAGGAGAAGAAGCGTGTCGGAACCGCTTTTCCCACCTCAGACAGGTGGGCTGCCTCAGGGCACTGGCGGCAGCAACCTTTGGGAGAAGGGACATTTCAGAGTACTATTACTCTCTGGAATGTATCTGGAAGCAACCTTTGATAGAAGGAGGGAAAGAGTGCGCAGGGGGAAAGAGGGGTTCTCTGTTGTTGTTGTGGTTGTTGTGGTTGTGGTTGTGCTCCAGTTGTGTCAGCAAGAGAGCAAACGCCTCAGCGCCTGTCCAGGGCCCAGTGCTCTTCAACATCTTTATCAACGACTTAGATGAAGGAATAGGGGGCATGCTTCACAAATTTGCAGATGACACCAATTTAAGAGGATTAGCTAATAATACCCCAGAGGACAGGATGGAAATTCAAAATAACCTTAATAGATTAGGAAGATGGGCCAAAGCTAACAAAATGAATTTCAGCACAGAGAAATGTAAGGTACTGCACTTAGGACAAAAACATGAAATGCATAGATATAAGATGGGGGACACTTGGCTTAACAAGATTAGGTGTGAAAGGGATCTAGGAGTCCTAGTGGACCACAAGTTGAACATGAGTCAACAGTGTGATGCAGCAGCTAAAAAGACCAATGCAATTTTAGGCTGCATTAGTAGAAGTATAGTATCTAGATCAGGGGTCCCGGGACTTTTTCATCTGGGGGCCGGTTCACTGGCCCCCAGATGATCCAGGGGGGCGGTGGCGCGCGCGCATGCATGCACACACATGCACCTAACTTGGGCGCCATTTTGTTTGTCAAAATGGCGCCCGAAGTTGTGCTCACGAGCACGCCATCGTGCGCACATGTGCACAACTCCAGGTGCCATTTTGGCACACAAAATGACGCCTGAGTCGTGCGCATGCGCGCGACGCTGGGTGCATGCACACAATTCCGGATGCTATTTTGGAATACAAAATGGTGTTCGGCGGCATGTACGAGTAGCGGCAGCGGTGGCAGGAGGCCTCGCAGGCTGGTAAGAAGGCCTCAATGGGCTGGGTCCGGCCCGTGGGCCGTAGTTTGTGGACCCCTGATCTAGATCAAGGGAAGTAATAGTGCCACTGTGTTCTGCTTTGGTCAGACCCCACCTGGAATACTGTGTCCAGTTCTGGGTACCACAATTCAAAAAGGATGTTAAAAAACTGGAGCATGTCCAGAGGAGGGCGACTAAAATGGTGAGGGGTTTGGAAACCATGCCTTATGAGGAACGACTTAGGGAGCTGGGGATGTTTAGCCTGGAGAAGAGATGGCGAAGAGGGGATATGATAGCCCTCTTTAAATATTTTAAGGGATGTCATATTGAGGAGGGAGCTAGTTTGTTTTCTTCTGCTCCAGAGAATAGGACTCGGAACAATGGATGCAAGCTACAGGAAAAGAGATTCCATCTCAACATTAGGAGGGACTTCCTGACAGAGCTGTTCGACGGTGAAACACACTCCCTCGAAGAGTGATGGAGTCTCCTTCTTTGGAGGTCTTTAAACAGAGGCTGGATGACCATCTGTCAGGGATGCTTTGATTTTGAGTTCCTGCATGGCAGGGGGTTGGACTGGATGGCCCTTGTGGTCTCTTCCAACTCTATGATTTTATGATTCTAACAGTTGTGCCATGTACTTATGGCTATAGTGTGCCTTCAAGTCCTTTCCAACTTATGGAGACCCTGAGGGGAACCTATCATGGGCTTTCCTTGGCCACTTTCTTCAGATAGAGTTTGCCATGGCTATTCTCTGAGGCTGAGAGAGTGTGGCTTGTCCAGACTCACCCAGTGGGTTTCCATGGGCAAACTGGAATTTGAACCCTGGTCTCCTCCAGTGTCCTAATCCAATCAAACCAATACACCACACTGGTTCGTTTTACAAGTAGAGAGCTGGGTTCAAAGATGAATGAGAGAAATAGGCGCATGGGTGGTCATGAGGCAGCAAGCATTGCTGATCCTATGCTGCACAAACACAGTCCATTGAATAGCTGAGAGTCCAGCCTCTGTGAACTTACTAGGTGGATAGCCAACACAGCTACCCCTGCATGTTTCCTAGGTGGAGTGTGTGACTTATAGTGTCTTGTGTGCCTTCAAATCCTTTCTTACTTATTGCAACCCGAAGGTGAAACTATCATGGGGTTTTCTTGGTAAGTTTTTCAGAATGGGTTTTCTTTTGCCTTCCCCTGAGGCTGAGAGAGCATGACTTGCCCAAGGTCACCTAGTGGGTTTTATGGCCATGCTAGGAATCAGACCTAGGTCTCCAGAGTTATAGTCCAACTCTCAAACCACTAGGCTACACTGGTACTGTTCTTAAAATAGTGTAGCCTATAGGCCGACCCTAGGATTTAAGCAGAGTAAGGGAATTGCCACAGGCAAAAGGGTATTGGGAGTCTGCGGGAACAACAGTAAATAATCTCTGGCTAACTTGTGCTCTTAGGTGCTGGGGAGAATGCTGTCCTGTGTAAACAAGTGCTGAAGTCAGATTCAATTGCCAATTCAGTTGGTTTCTCTGGAATTTATTAGTAATTTTACCATTTTATTCTGTTTTATTTTCCACCTTTCTCCTCAGACAGAGTGCAAAGCAAGCAAAATGATTTAAAATATTAAGTTAAAATCATGCAAAGTTCTAATACTACTGTTCAATTAAAGATGCTGTTATTTCAAAGTAACTATCAAATTAATAATTGAAAAGCCCATCAAAAAAAAAGTTAAAGCAAGAACGAGGCTATTCCCATTACAAGCTCTTTCCTTAGCAGTCAATGCTAATAAAATGAGTGAAAGGACCACATAATTAAAATAGATATTTGCAGGGTAGTTATAGAGTACTATGGGCTAGATTCAGACTTAGTCATGCTTATCAGGAACAATGGAACAATTAGTCATAACTAACATAAGTTCAATGGGCCTAATCTAAACATGACTAATCCTGGTTCCAACCCTAGTTCTCATACAATTTCTATTGTAGACTATTTTCTGTGTTGATGTTGTTATTAACTACCTTGGAGTCAATCTCGACTCATGGCTACCCTGTGGATGAGACATCTCCAAGACCCCTTGTCCTCCACTGCTGTGCTTTGGTCCTGTAAATTAAGGCTTGTGGCCTCTCTGACTGAGTCTATCCATTTGGCATGCAGTCTTCCTCTCTTTCTGCTGCCTTCTACCTTGCCTAGTATTATTGTCTTTTCTAATGAGTCATGCCTTCACATGATGTAGCCAAAGTACAACAGCCTCAGCTTTGTCATCTTGGCTTCCAGGTAGAGTTCCAGTTTAATCTGTTCAAGGATTCCTTTGTCCTTTTGGCCGTCCACGGTATCCTCAGCACTTTCTCCAACACCACATCTCAGATGAGTTGATTTTCTTTGTATCTGCTTTCTTCACTGTCTAGCTCTCGCATCCATACATGGTGATGAGGAATACAGTGGGTAGGAAGATTCTAACTTTAGTGGTTAGATGTATGTATATTTACACTTTAGGATTTTATCTAGTTCTTTTGTCTTCCCTTCTCATTCCTAATTTTATGGAATCTTTTTGATGTTCATTAAAAATCACATGAGATGCCTACAACTATGCAACTGATGTGCAACTGGATTATTTTTAAAGCTGTTATTTCAAAGAGACAAACCAATAATGGCTGCATTAGCCATGACTTCTGATTTGTTGAATGCAGTCTCTGTTCTGGTCAATGTCTGATCCAAGGTACAGGAAATCTTGAACTATTTCAGTTTAGGATGAATTTATGTACATGTTCTGTGGTCATAAATTTTATTTTCTTTATGTTCAGCAGTAAGCCTGCCGTTGCACTTTCTTCTTTAACTTCCCTTAGTAATTGTTCTAAGTCTATCATGTTTTCTTCTAGCAGCATGGTGTTGTTTGAATATATTATTATAGAGGTCACCATCAATGTCAAATCCAGTGCCATCAGACTTTATTAAAATAGAAGTCATGTTTATTAATTTCAGTAAGACTTCTGGTAAGATGGCCGAGTGAGGCTTCCAGTATTAATTTAATCAAAGTTGACATCTTTAAATGTTTATAATTGGTGAAACAGAATCTAAATAATGAGATTTTATATATTTAAACATTGGCTACATCCAGACTGCAGAAATAATCCAGTTTTACACCATTTTAACTGTCATAGCTCAATGCTATAGAATCCTGGGATATGTAATTTGTTGTTCACCAGAGTTCTCTGGCAGAGCAGGCTAAATGTCTTGCAAAACTACAATTCCCATAAATTTCATAGCATTGAGCCATGGCAATTAAAGTACTGTCAAATTGGATTATTTCTGCAATGCTGATGCAGCCATTATTTGTTTGTCTCTTAAGAAATAACAGCTTTAAAAATAATCCAGTTGCACATCAGTTGCACAGTTGTGGGCATCACTTGTGATTTTTAATGAACATCATAAAAATTATAAACATCTTAATTACTTACAGGGTGCAGTGAAAGCCCTGTCTGCTGAATTTGTGGCCAGATATTTCCCTTAGTGCCTCATAAATACTTGGTAAGCTCCAGGACATTGGTATAACATTGCTCAAAGACAAATACAAAGCTATTGCTAAGCAATTAATTTTTACATTTGCTCAGTTATTCTGTGGTGACAACATTCCTAGGATGAATTACATGTATCAAATGGCACCAAGACACTAATTGTTTAATGCAGTGAGAACTTTATATTTCTAAGGCGCCTAAAGAAAAATTTGTCAGTGCAGAAATATAAACTGTTTTAGATATTCCAAAATGCAGAAACTATGCTTGTACTCAGAATACAAAGTAAAATATTGAATTAGGAAGATGTCTAGATGCGGAAAATGTAGTTTCAAACTATGTTGTTTAGCCATGAACTCAGTGCTGGAATCTGTGGGAAATTATCTTGTTATATAATCCAGGTTTTGCTTACTTTGAAAGGTAGTAGCTCACGTGACTTCAGATGCAACTTATTTTAGATACAATATCACAGATGATCTGTGTCTACTGGTCATGTCTTGTTTCCCCCTTGACACAGCAATATATAGTTTAGCCAGGATTTTGCTTATGCCATGATAATGCTATTTACTGGCTGCTGATGGTGCAGAGGGTAGATTAAAGGGGTAAATAGATCTCTGCTTTGCTGTGTCATTGTGATTCTTATGTTTATAAAAAGCTAATGTACAATAAATTAAATATGCATTTCTTAATTGCTCTTTCTGCTCAGGAAATTGTAACATACTATGCATGTTCCCAGAGGGATAGCTGTGTTAGTCTGTTACAGCAAAAACAAAAGAGTCTTATGGCACCTTGTGGGCAAAGTGTGTGCTGCATGTAGTGCCTAAGCATTCACGTATCCCAGTGACTTCTTGCCTGCAAATTTTTACCTCCCAATTACAAATGGTGTCCCTCGGAAGCCATTTAAACAAAATTCCTCCCAGAAATGCTTTAGATCTGGAATAAATTGGTTTCTAGAATAGGCTTGGTGAAGAGGAGTTCTAGCAAACAGGGTCCAACAAAAGCTTCATGAAGTATGGATTACAATAAGGAAGAAGTTCTGGAGAAGGTCCAAGAGAGACCCAAAAAAGGCCCCTGGACTGTCAGAAATTACCCATCCTGTTGTAGATGAATACATTTATTATGGCATAAGCTTTCATAAACTGCTGTAGTCGTTTTTATCAGATACATAAACTATTTCCTAGTAAGTAATACACATACATATGGAGAGTGGGGTGGGATTTCAAACTGAAGTCAGAAGGAACTGAAATGCATAAAGTACAATTATAATTACCTTGTCATTCATAATGTGACTATTCTTTAGGGATCTATAGCAGAGATAAGCAAAATGTGGCCCATGAGTTGCAGATAGTCATCCAAGATTTTTATTTTATTTTATTTTGCAGCCCCTTAGCTTTCCAAAGACGCACCAAAAGCCTCACATGGTGAAAATATCTTGTGGCTATTCACTTGAAAATGGCCACAAAAGGCATATCACTGATCTTGGAACAGCCTTCTACACACATTCCAACCCATCCCCCACCATTTAAAAGGCTTTATTGAAAATGGAAGAACAAACCAGAAATCACACATGCCTTAGTTTTCGGGTAAAAAATGCCTGTCACAGCTGCTGTCTTTTCTACACTTGATCCACAGTCTAATGGGGGATGTGGAATAGAAAATTAATTCCAAATTTTAGATGCACATATAGCAGCATGTCATCTTTCATAGTCCCTGGACTCTGCCCCATCCCCAGCCTAAATAAAGCCATAAAGCTGAACAAGATTTCCCTAGAACCTCTTTTGGACTCATCCCTCCAGAAAGGAACAGAACCACTATTGAACAGTACCCTCCGGTCCCATCCCAGCATGGTGCCTCAGAATAGCAGATGTATCAAATGCTGCTGAATGGTCTAGCAGAATTTATTTATTTATATTTATTTATTTAATTAATTTATATGCTACCTTTCTTCCAGAAGAGACCCAAAGCAGCTCACGGATAAAAATGTTAAAAAAACATAATTACAGTAAAATTTAAAACAATTAAAATAATATAAAAGCAGCATAAAATTACATCAAAATATGCAAAAGTTAAAAGCATGACTAAAACCTATTCCATAAAACCACCCTGATATGATTATATACAAACGTCTTGGTTTGCCAATGAAAATAAAGTATGGGAGGGGGAGGCAGCCTAGCCTCCTATGGGAGGGCATTCCAGAGGGTGGGAGCAGCCACCGAGAAGGCTCTCTCCCATGTATAAAACCAAATGGGACACACTCCACCTTTTCAGTTCCTGTCACAGTCATTCACCAAAGTGCTCAAAACAACGTCAGTCCTATTACTGGGTCTGAAGCCAGATTGTAATACCGTAGATCTAGATCTATGGTTCCTAACCTTTGGTCCTCTATTTGTTTTGGACTTCAGATCCCAGAAGCCTCAGCCAACTTGGCCAACAGCCAGGAATTATGGAAGGTAAACCCCAAAAACCTGGAAGACCAAAGGCTGGGAACCACTGATCTATATAATAAATCTCATCCAAGAACTCCTAGAGCTGGGGGGTCCACTACACACTTTGATATCTTGCCTCCCACAAAAAATATTGGAAATTGGTCAGTAATTATCCAGTAGAGTAAGATTCTCAGGGAGGGTTGTTTTAAAACAGGGGTCTTACAACTGTCCCCTTTATCACTTCTACCCAGCAACTCCTCTTCTGGCCTTTTTTTGTAAGTTAGGAAAAAACAAAGATCTAGCACTCTTGCAGTAACTTTTGCCTCTCCCAAAATCTTGTCCATGTCTTCAGACTATACTAATCAAAAATTGATCATTTACATTGGAC